TCAGCCAAGCACAGCAGAGGTCACACAGCCACTGGATTGGGATTAACCTGCTGGAAACACAGAGGGCTGGAGCAGAACAGATGCAGGCTGGCAGCAGGAGGAGACAGGGAGAGGGGAATTCGAGCCACTCATCCGTGAGGATGATGATGCTGGACGTGGAGCAGTATCACAGAGCAGCACAGAGGTGCAGCTGTTTGTGAGGGATGTTTCAGGGGGGCAGGGCTGTGTCTCCTTAGTCCACAGCAGCACCAGCACCCTGGAACTGGGAAATATCTTCCTTCCAACATCCCCCACTGCTTTCACACAATCCCAGAGTCATTCAGGCTGGAAAAGACCTCCAAGATCATCTGGTGACCAATCCCCATCTTGTCACCAGAGCAGAGCACTCAGTGCCACATTCAGTTGTTCCTTGGATGACTCCACCACCTTCAGCCAGCTGTAACCAACCAGGTGCTTTAACCAACTGTTTTAATAAAGATCAGGCAAAAACCCCCAGGAAGCTCTCCAACAGGGATGGAAAGAAACCTGTGGAATGGGAAGGTGGCAGTGCCCACTTTCTGCCCAGCACAAACACCGAGTCTCTGTCTCCCCAGCACCCCCAGATCCCAGGGGATTTGGGCTCCCTGTTCCCCAAAAACCCACCCGGCTTTTCACCTGGCCACAGCAGAAGCCATCAGGGAGGTGGCAGTGCCATCACCATCCCTGTGATCCCTGTGATCCCTGTGACAATCCCATCACCGAGCCTGGGAGTGGTGCTTTCCCAACCAGCACAGAGTTTGCATCTGATGCTCCACAGAGACAAATCCTCCCTGCAAACTCGGCTGCACATCCTTCCCCTGCTACAGCAACAGGAATTAAAATAAAGAAGAAAAACTCCTGTTGGGGCCGCACTTTTATTTCCTGTCCTTTCTAGAACTCCTTGTACAGGAGGAAAAAAAATAATCCTTAAATATTTCCAAGCATCCTGCATGCTTGCAGCAAACTCCCCCCCAGCCACGGGCAGGCAGAGAAGGGATGACTAATTTTTATTTTAGCATAAAAGACGCTGGGAGAGCGTCCTGTGAACGAGCTCAGTAAATTCCTGAGGCTCCCGGCAAGGACTCCAGCACTCCTTGCGAAACTTCCCAGCTGGAAATGAAAAGGCACAAAACATCTTTGCTCTCCCTCCCCAAACAGAGCTTGGGATTCCTTTCACGACAGTATTTGGATTTTTTTTTTTTTTAATGTCAGTCCATATTTAGCAGGAGGGAAAAAAAGCCTCCCTTCCTTCCTGTCACATTTTCCACCCTCGATGACATCCAAGATCAGAAACAAGCGAGCGCTGGCCGAGGAGGGAGGAGGATGCAGCTCCCTGAGCGTGGGAGAGCCTGGAGAGGGACAGCAGGGACAATCCCATTTGGGATTCCCGTTGGAGGGGACACACCCTCGGAGGAGTGGGAAGAGCCAGTAGGAAGGGGACAGAGCCCTGGAGGAAGGACAGAGCCCTGAAGGAAGGGACAGAGCCCTGAAGGAAGGGACAGAGCCCTGGAGGAAAGGACAGAGCCCTGAAGGAAGGGACAGAGCTCTGGAGGAAAGGACAGAGCCCTGAAGGAAGGGACAGAGCCCTGGAGGAAGGGACAGGGCCCTGAAGGAAGGGACAGAGCCCTGAAGGAAGGGACAGAGCCCTGGAGGAAAGGACAGAGCCCTGAAGGAAGGGACAGAGCTCTGGAGGAAAGGACAGAGCCCTGGAGGAAAGGACAGAGCTCTGGAGGAAGGAACAGAGCCCTGGAGGAAAGGACAGAGCTCTGGAGGAAGGGGACAGAGCCCTCAGACCCCACAGGGTGTCCCTTCCAATTCTCCACCCTGGAGCATCTCCCGGAGGGATGGCCCAGGGAGCAGCCAGGCCACAAGTCCCCAAGCTGGAATATTGGTCCCCAAAGAAGCTTTTGGCCACCTGGATGTGCCCAGGGGTGTCAGGAGGGTTCCTCACTGAGCCTGATGGAGGTGTGCAGGGAGGCCGGTGGTGCTGGGTGGTGGCAGGAGGTTGTGGCCGTGGTGGCCCTGCCCTGCAGATGTTTTTGTGGGGTTTTGGAGGGGTGTCCCCAGCTTGGGCCCCTGTGTTCAACCTCGTGGGTCGCTGCAGATCCACAGGTGGGAGTTCATAGAATGAGGGAATGGTTTAGGTGGGAAGGGACCTTAAAGCTCACCTTGTTCCATCCCCTGCCATGGGCAGGGACACTTTCCACTGTCCCAGGGTGCTCAGAGCCCCATCCAAGCTGGCATTAAACACTTCCAGGGATCCAGGGGAAGCCACAGCTTCTCTGAGCAACCTGTGCCAGGGCCTCACCACTCACCCAGGGAAGAATTCCTTCCTAACATCTAATCTAACCATACTCTCTGTGTGAGGGTGTTCCCCCTTATCCTGTCACCCCTACAAAAAGTCTCTCTCTATTTTTCCTGCGTGCTGCCTTCAAGCACTGACAGAGCCCCATCAGATCTCCCCGGACCCCTCTCTCCTCCCGGCTGGACAATCCCAATTTTCCCAGCCTTTCCTCGCATCCCTCCCATCAACTCAGTGGCCTCCTCTGGACCCGCTCCAAGGGAGCAAATCCAAGATCCCCAGCCCGCGCTCACTTTCAGAAATCCCCATTCTCACCAACAAACAACACCTACAAACACACAAACACCAAACCCCAAGTTCAGCGCCGGCAGGGCGGGGGTGCCCCAACTCCACGGACACGCCTGCATCGCTCCCCTCGCCCCTTCCATCACCCCCAAATCACCACAACCACCCCGAGCCCAGCCCCGGGGGGCACCTGCGGGCCCTCCCCGCTCACCTGCGGCCGCCGCTCCCGCACCGGCTCCCGCCCAAACGGCTCCGCTGCGAGGCCGCCGCGGCCGCCCGTAACCATGGACGGCGCAGCGGGGGAGGACGCGGGGATGGAGGGGAGCGGGGGAAAAGGGGAGGGGGAGATGAGGGAAGGGGAAGGGGTGCGGGAAGCCCCCGCCGCCCCTCGGGGCTCTCCCGGCGCTCAGCGGCGCCGCCGCCGCCGCCCGCCCGCTGCCGCCGCCATCGTGCGGCTCCGGCCCGGGGGCGTGGCCGGGGCGTGGCCATGGGCGTGGCCAGGCGGGCCCGCGGCGCGGGGCGGTGCTGCCCCCTGGTGGCGCGGAGGCGGCACTGCGCCCTTCCCGCTCCCACGTCCCAAAATTCCGGAGTAGGAAAAATTAATTAATAGATAAATTAATTAACTAACTCACTATTAATGAGGAAATTAATTACAAACATAAAGTTTTGGTGGGATGTCGGAGAATATCGGAGAAACCTCTTAGGGAGGAGCTGCGGAGACAGGACAATGAGTAATGAGTACAAGCTGAAAAAGAGGGAATTTCTATCGGATATTAGAAGGGAATTTTTTGCTGTGACCATGGTGAGAACAGAACAGGTTGCCCAGAAAAGTCGTGGATGCCCCAGTGCTGGAAGTTTTCAAAGCCAGGTGGGATAAGGCCTTGAGCAACCTGGTTTAATGGGGCCTCACTCTGACCGTGGCAGGCTTGGGATGATCTTTAATGTCCCTTCCAAACCTTTAACATTCTGTGATTCTATGATTCTGGGCTTTATGATCATGATTGTACGATTCTGTAGTTCTGTAATTTATGATCGTGATTGTACGATTCTGTGGTTCTGTAATTTATGATCGTGATTGTATGATTCTGTGATTCTGGGATTTATGATCATGATTGTACAATTCTGTGATTCTGTGAACAGAAATTCCTGGGTGCAACTGAGTGGCTTTTTTTTTTTTTTTCATGAGGTAAATTTTGATCACCAAAAAGATCTCTTCTTAATTAGAAACAATCTAGAAAAATGATCCTTTTTTATAATTTAGAATGAGAAAAGCTGGCTTCAATTAATTATAATCACAGAATGGTTTGGGTATGAAGGAACCTTAAAGAGCATCTGGTTCCACTCCCTGCCATGGGCAATGCTCCAAGCCCCATCACCCGTGGCCTCAGACACTTCCAGGGATGAGGTTTTTCTGGACAAACTGTGCCAGAGCTCACATGAAAGACCAAGTTCCTCACATCCAGGTGGAACTTCCATCGGTTTCTGCCCTTTGCCTCTTGTCCCATTGCTGGGCACCATGGAGCAGAGCCTAGTCCATCCTCTTGGCACGCCACCTTTAGATGTTTATACACATTGATGAAGTCCCCCCTCAGATGTCTGTTCTTGAGGCTGAACAGCTCCCAGAATCACAGAATACTGAGGTTCAAAAGGACCTCTGGAGACCATCCAGTCCAACCTCCTGTCAAGGCAGTGTCACATGGAGCAGGTGACACTGGAATGTGTCCAGGTGGGTTTGGAATGTGTCCAGAGAGGGAGACTCCAGGGCCTCCCCGGGCAGCTGTTCCAGTGCTCTGCCACCCACAACATAAAGAAATTCTTCCATGCTCTCCCTGTCCCCGTTCCAAGATCTGTCCCCGCTCCATGCTCTCCCTGTCCCGCTCCAGGACCGCCCTGTCCCCGTTCCAGGATCTATCCCCGCTCCAGGAATTCCCTGTCCCCGCTCCAGGATCTGTCCCTTCTCCAGGATCTGTCCCCGCTCCATGCCCTCCCTGTCCCCGCTCCAGGATCTTCCAGTCCCGCTCCATGCCCTCCCTGTCCCCTCTCCAGGATCGGTCCCCTCTCCAGGATCTGTCCCCGCTCCATGCCCTCCCTGTCCCCTCTCCAGGATCTGTCCCCTCTCCAGCATCTGTCCCCGCTCCATGCCCTCCCTGTCCTCTCTCCAGGATCGGTCCCCTCTCCAGGATCTGTCCCCGCTCCATGCCCTCCCTGTCCCCTCTCCAGGATCTGTCCCCTCTCCAGCATCTGTCCCCGCTCCATGCCCTCTCTGTCTCCGCTGTCCCCAGAGACCCGGAACCGGACACACCCCCTGTCAATCACTACCTGTCAATCACCGTGACGGGCGTGTTCTCCAGCCAATCAGCGGCGGACGCGACGCAAAGGGGGCGGGGCCATAGCGGTGCCGGGCGCGCGGCGGCGGCGGGCGCAGGTGAGGGGCCCTCAGGGGCCGTGAGGGCGGCGGGGAGGGGACACCGGGGCCGCACCGACCCCCGCGGCCGCCACGGCCCCGGCCGCCACCGCCGGCCGCTCTGCCAGGCGGATCTGCGAGCCGAGAACCTCCCGGAGATCCCCCGGGGGCTGAAGGTCGCGCTGAGGGCGGGGGGGCCCCGCAGTGAGGGCGCGCAGAGCCGCGTCGCGGCCTGCGGGCCGCTGTTCCCTGTGGGAAGGAGCGCTGTGCTTTCCCCTTTGGTTTTCCCATTGCTTGTGCGAGATTCCCGCCCTGGCTTCTGGCGCTTGTCTTGGCCGTGCCGCTTGTTTTTCCCTGTCGCCTGTCGTGACCCTGCCGCCAGGCCAGCCCCCAACCCGCCGGCGGAATCCAAACATCCAAACAAGCAGAGTGGGAACAAACACGGTCTGGGCAATGGTAGAAATAAGCGAGGTTTATGGAAGTGAAGCTGAGCGTTGAGCTTAAACCCACACGAATTTTCTGTGCGTGATTTCCGACAGGATTTCCCCTGTCTCATCGCGCTGTCTGTGCCAGGGCACGGATGCCTGCCCGAGCTTCTGAGACAGCCTGGGGCTCACCCGCAGTCTCTGCTCACCCGCAGCCTCTGTCCCTCTGCAGGTGCTGAGCCACGATGGGTTTGGCTGAGGACAAAGTGTACAGCCACATTACGAGAAACCTCAAGAAGTTCGGGACTATCCGAGTGGCGTCGCTGGCTGATTCCCTGACCTGCCTGGTCGATTCTGACAGAGTAATTTCCTCTTTACCTGAGCTCTGCCAGGCTCCTTCCCCAATGGCAACGTAGAGCTGTCTTACCTCTAAGCCAGACCCTCTCTTAGATACGCTGTGTGTTTTTCCTAGGATGAACTCCTGGCCCGGGAGGAGACACGGGGCAACCAGGCAGCCGTGTTTAGGTTCTATCAGCACCTGAAGTGCCGCAAGGGCTGGGTGCAGGATCTCATCCAGGCACTGCACCACAACAACGCAGGGCACTTGGCTGATGAGCTGCAGGAAGTCTATGATGCCTGGCAACCTCGACCTCGTATGTAGCCTCATCCTTCCCGGGTGTGGTCCTGTGGGGTGCTGGAGGTGGGGGCATGAAGTTGTCTCTGTGCCTGCCTCGGTTTCCCAAGGTGCTGGAGGTGTCTGTGACTGTCCCAGGGATGTCCTTCACTGTGGTGACATGTCTGAGGATGACAGAACCATGTTTGAAAGCGGCTGAGGGAAGATGGAAAGATGCACAAAGGGGTGTTGTGGGCTTGGCTGATGTGGGGACAGAGCAGGGACTGTCTCAGTGTCACACTTATCCTCTGCTTCCTCAGTTTTTCCTGCAATGATCCACTTGTCTCTTCCAGGTTCCTCAGCTCCTGCTGCTGCCCCCTCCCTCCCCAGTGATGCCCATCCCAGGCCCTCCTCCATCAGTGCCCAGACACCACCCCGGGGGCCAAATTCTGCCCCGCTGGCTGGGCAGCCACGCCGAGACCTGGCCACTGGTGACCATGCCCCTGTCCTGCCCGGTGCTGGCACCGCCACGAGCACGGAGCTGGAGGCCAGGCTGCCTGTGCAGGAATCGGTGAGCAGGGCACAGGTTGGATGGGGACACAAAGATCCCTTTTGGCCCTTTTGATTGGGTATGGGGAGCCTGTGGTGGGGCCAGGGCCAGCCAAAGCAGCCCCTCACTGCTGATCTCTGCTGTATCTGGTAGCTTACAGCGCATATATGGCCCTGTAACTGAATTCCAGGGGAATTCCATTCCATGGGGAGAGTGCAGGGTCTGCTTTGCCAGTCCAGGCTTCTCTCCACAGCCCCAACCTTTGGGTGGTCCCAAAGAGAGACCCCAGACCCCCTTCATAGCCAGCCTCACGGGGGTCACTGGGACCAAGGGATGTCCCAAACCCCCTCATCCCAATGATTAACACACCTCATTTCCTTCCAGCTCCCCAAAAAACTCCCGGAGCAAGAGAGTCCCCAGCCAGTTCCACCTGGGAGCAAAGTCCATGGCGGAGCGAGCGGCGGGCACAGCGCAGAGGGGAATCTCTCACGCCCCACTGGGGCCGTGCCAGTGTCACCAGGGACACCAGGGGTGGCTGTGCCACCAGCCGTGTCCCCAGAGCAGGGCCGGGACTGGCTGAGCCGCCGGCCGGTGTGTGTGGACAATGGGTTTTTTGGGAATGCCAACCACCTGCACCGCGGCACGCCCGGCCTGGGCCTGGGCAGGGCTGCTCCATCCAGAGATGCAGGTGCCACTCACAGCCCTGGGCAGCCCAGGAACGAGCCCGAAGAGAGCTCCGATATCTCCACAGAGCCACCACCGAGCCTGGAGGGGGCCGCTCGTGCTGTGCCCCCAAACCCAGTGCCAACAAAGCAGCCCGTGCCAAGCTCTGGGCAGGGTGAGCCCACAGGAAGCTTCGTGGATGTGCGCAGCCCCCTCCTCATCCAGGAGCAGTTTGATGTGGAGAAGAAGCGGGTGGGGATGCTGCCGCAGCACCCAGGGAGTGCAGGTGGGTGTCCCTCCTGGCAGAACCAGGCAGCCACTGGGGAGCTGCTGAGAGCCCCTCACTGCAAGAGTGTTCCAGAGATGGGGATGGAGCTGGGAGGGCTCTAGAGCTTAGGTCTGATGAGGAGCAGCTCAGGAAGCTGAGAGAGCCCAGTCTGGAGACAAGGAGATTTGGGAGAGACCTTTTCACTCTCTACAACTCCCTGACAGGAGGGTGGAGATTGTAGCAGGCAAGAGGATGAGAGGAAAATTGTGTCATAGCAGGTTTAGATTAGATAGTAGGGAAAATTTCTTTTTGGAAGAAGCTGTCAAGCAGTGGGAAAAGCTGTCCAGGCCAGTGGTAATCACCATTCCTGGAGGGATTTAGAAGGTGTTTGGATGTGGCATTTGGGGACATGGGTTAATGGTGGCCTTGGCAGTGCTGGGGGAATGATTGGAATGGAATGGAATGGAATGGAATGGAATGGAATAGAATAGAATAGAATAGAATAGAATAGAATAGAATAGAATAGAATAGAATAGAATATTTTGTTTGGAAGGAACCCACAATGGTCATCTCATCCATCTGCATTTTAATTTTGGCAGTTTGGGAGCAGCTTTGAGGTGTGAAAGTTCTCCCCCTGGTTTGCAGAGATCTTTGTATGCGTGTGGGGGAATTTTTGCATCTCCTACATCCCTCACCTTTGGGCATCACAGAATCAGGATAAAGCCCTGTCCTCCACACCAGGGTCTTGGGGTGGGAAAAGAGACACCCACCCCTCCCAGCCCTTTCCCCTCTGCCATATGGGGTCAGCACCTCCTGGCTGGGGGGACATGGAGTTTCAGGAGCCTTAAAAGCCTCTGTTTGCCTTGGTGCCCTCCCTGCATGAGTTACCTGCAGCTGCAGGGAAAGCTCGGGTGCCACAGCAGAGCCAGGGCACTGGGTCCTGCTCCCTGTGCCACCCCCTCAGCTTGGGGACTGTCCTGTCACAGCTTCCTTGAGGAAGGACAAATCAGCAAATCTCACCTTTTAGGCCCCCTGGTTAACACAACACGTTTTATTTTCTCCCTGACAGGTGCTTCAGTGGAAACAGCTCCCCTGGGTGCCACCCCTGTGCCCAGAGCCACTGTCCCATCCCGTGACAGCTCTGTGAAGTCCCTTACACAAGAGAAGAAGCTGCCTGTTGGGAATAGAGCCAGCAGCACCCCCTGTGTGCCAGCCAAGGAGAAAGTAGGTGACCTTTCCTCTTGCCACTTGCATTTCACTCCTGTCCTTGTGCACTCCCAGTGGTTGGGAGATTTTCTGTTGCAGTGTCACACTGGTGATGAGTTTATTCAGGGATTTTTTACCCCCGCTGTGGTGTTTATGTTACTATCCACACACATTGTGTGCTGGAGCACGGGAGAAGGGAGCCAAACTCTGTTGGGCTTTGACTCCTTTTCTTCCCAGTCAGTTTTGTGGCTTCCAGGTGCTGTTTTCCTCTGCTCTCCTTCCTTCCTGCCTCCTTCACCTCCCTGTTACCTGTGACCCAACCTGTGGGGACTGTGTTCAAGTGGCTTTGTTGGGACCTGTGTCCCCAAGCCCAGGCTGTTGGGTGCTCCCCTTGACCCCAGCCCCTCTCCTTGTCTCCCAAAGGTGCTCCCAGCCCCTCTCCTTGTCTCCCTGTTGAAAGCAAAGGGAGACGACCCATCCTTGTTGATCAGCATCGAACTCCGATTTATTGATCTCACTCACACACTTTTATAGTGGTGTTAATTAAGCTCATGCATATTGCAAAATCTGAGCTCATCATAGGTCACAGATTACACATTAACCCCTCCTTTTGTTTTCAATACCTGTGGTTTGTTATTGAATCCAAGATTTATTTTCTCACCCTGTTATGAAAGTTCTCAAGGCCTCCATGTTATTGAAGACAGGCTTGAGAACTTAGCTGTTTACAGAAACAGGCTGTGAGAATTTGCTCCTCACAGCTGCCTTTTAAGCCATTTCTGAGCAAAATTCTCCAACATCTCCCAAAGGTGCTCCCCAGCCCCTCTCCTTGTCTCCCAAAGGTGCTCCCAGCCCCTCTCCTTGTCTCCCAAAGGTGCTCCCAGCCCCTCTCCTTGTCTCCCAAAGGTGCTCCCGGCCTCAGCAGACCCAGTCCTGGGCACAGCTGTCGTAGGCGGCTCCGAAGGCGCGGCTGGGAGATCGGCTTCCCGGGTGAGCTCTGCCACCAGCATCTGGGCACCTCAGAGTGATGAGGAGAAGGAAGAGGAGCTCAGCAAGCCAGGTGTCCTCATGTCCCCGCCTCGGGGCAGCCCAGAGGTGGCCAGCACACACCCGAGCTCTCGGGAGCCCAGCAACCCCTCCAGCAGCCTTGGCCTTGGCAGCGACCCAATCCTGGTGAGCAGGGATAGCCTGAGCTCAGGAGCAGCACTGCCCAGAGTCTCCTCAGTTCCTGCAGGCCCCAGAGCAAAGGAGGCACCTGGAGCAAGGAGAGACTCCAGTCCTGCTCCAGGCTGGGACAGCGGCTCCCTGGGCACCCACGAGCTCCATGTGGATCATCCCCCCAGCGTCCAGCTTGGAGCCGGCAGCGACGGGGTCACTCCCCTCGGGAGCTCCGTGAATTCCAGCCCTGGCAGTGCCACCAGCTCCCCTCAGGGCAGAGCCCCAAAGGGGGACAGCAATGGCCTGTCCCTGCTGTACCTCCTGCCAGCTGTGGGTGTCATTTCTGCCGTGGTGTTCGCCGTGTACGCCCGGCTGCGGAAATAGCGATGGGACACCCCGACAGTGACACAGCCGGGGGGTTCCTCTGGCAACAGGATTTTGGCCAATGCATTTGAAGCCTGAAGAGTAGCAAAGGGCAGTAGGGGCGTTGTTAAATCTTTTTCTGGAAGGTTCTGCTGGAATAGGCCTTGGTACGTGATGCTGTTGGGTTTGGGTCCGTTCCCTCCCATTTCCCAGCCATCTTCTTGGCTGTAGCCTTCTCTTTTTACAGCCCTCAGGGAGAAGATCTCGCTCCAAAATGTTCCATTGAGTCAAAAAGAAAAGCACTTATGGTGATTCTCCATGTCTTGTTTGGTCCCAGGAAGTCTCAGGGAAACTGGTGATCCAAAGGGTGACCTCCAGGTCCTTTGTGCAGTGCAGCCAGGTGAGGTGTTGCAGGTATCCTGTAACAGCAGAGCTGATTTTCTTGGCTCTGCTCATCTTGGCTTGAAAATGTGCCCAAGGGTGGGGGCAGCAGCCTCCACTGGACATCTCATGTTCAGTTTGCCTTACTTGGTGTCTCTGGCTCTGCTGCTCCTTCTGGGATTGTTTCATGTAGTACTGACCCTGGGGATAAACATGAGGGTCAGGAAAGAGCTGCATCTAACAAGCATCATCAAGGATCAGCCTCATTTCACCCCCTCCAGGCAGAGAAAGGGGTTTCTGATTTAAGAGAAATGTTTCAGGCAATACCAACTTCAAGCAGACTTGGTCCCACAAAAAGTTGCTGGGTGTCTTTGATTTTTAGGCTGGATTTTTGGAGTTTGGTTGGAAGGGTGGATGGAGTTCCTGATCCCCTGTGGGGTAGGGGTATAGGAGCCTTCTGCCCAGGCTGGGACACAAACAGGATCAACTGCAGGGAGGCCATAGGAGAGTCTGAGATGCTCTGGGCTGTGGGGAGACCTTGGAGCACCTTCCAGTGTCCAAAGGGCTTGGAACAGACTGGTCCTGGGGAAGGTGTCCATGGCAGAGGGCTGGGATGAGATGCTCATTGATGGCCCTTCCCACCCCAACCATTCTGTGATTCTAAAATACAGCAAAGCAGGGAAGCAGCAACAGTTTGGAATAATGACATTGCTCTAGCTTGCTTTAATCCTCATTCAACTTGGCCTTAAGCTCCTCCAGGGATGGAGCAGCCACACCTGTGTCAGTGCCTCACCACCCTCACAGGGAAGAATTTCTTCCCAGTATCCCATATCCCTGCCCTCTGACAGTGGGAATCCATTCCCCTTTGTGCTGTCCCTCCAGCTCCTTGTCCAAAGTCCTTCTCCAGCTCTCTTATAGCCCATTTAGATACTGGAAACTGCTGGAAGTTCTCTTCTGAGTGTTCTCCAGGCTGAGCACTCCCAGGTCTCCAGAGCAGAGGGCTCAGTCCTGTGGCCTCACTGCAGCAGCTCCAGATCCTTCTGATGTTGGACACAGCACTGCAGGTGGGGTCTCAGCAGAGCAGAGCAGAGAAGCAGAATCACTTCCCAGTAATTTATTCATCCTGAATTTCTGCCATCAGCACAATTTCCCCAAATCCTCTCTTCCTGCTGGCAGGGAGCTCAGCCCATCACCCAGAGCTTGGCCTGTGGTGGGAAAGGTCACTCAGCCCTCAATGGCTGCTCCTCCCTCCCAACAGTTCCCTTCTGCCCAAAAATGCACAAAGTGCCTCCATGAGCCAAGGCCAGGCAGTAGATGCAGGAGGGAGGTGCTGCTGTGCTGTGTCAGGGCTGCTTCCCAGAACAGCTCCAGGTGTTCATTCCTTGCTCGGTGCCTGCTGCTAAAGGAGGGAGGGACAATCCTTCAAACCCACCCAGCCCCCTCTGCCAGGAGAGGGATGTGGGGCTGCTCTTCCCATCACAGATAAAATGGTTTTCACTCCCTAAAGGAGGGCCTTGCCTTCTGCACACTTTCTGTAATTCAGGGCAGATCCATGAGATCCCAAACCAGCCTCATCCATACCAAGGCTCTCTTCTCTGATGCTTTACTTGCCTGTGCAATTCTTCCCGTGGTTTTCCATACATTTAAGCAACAGCTTGTATGCTTTGCCTTTTCATGTTGGGTTTCTCTTGTGGAACAGCTGGTTTGTCACCACCTCACACTGAGGGAAGCAGTTCAGATTGCTGCTGTGAAGTGCCAGGATTTTCACAGTTGTTATGTAGCACTTTAAAGCCTCATTGGCAGGAGATGGTGCAGGAGGGAGCTGTGTCCCAGCACATCTTTTACTAACAGGCTAAAAAGCCTTTTACTAACTATAATAAATTGGTTTGATGCTTCACACTTGCCTTGTTGTGATTTGTGGGACGAAGAGCAGGAGGTTGGTGATGCTGTGGCTGGAGGCAATGCTCTGAAGGGCTCTCTTGGCAGTGACACTGAGAGACTGAGGTGACAGGAGGAGGTGACAGGGTTCAGGGTTCCAGAGCTCATTTTGGAGCAAGCACCTGGTCCAGAGGATGCCCATCATGGCAGGTTTTCATGTTGGTGGTTGGATATCCAGGATGAAAGCAGGGAAGGTGGTTCTGAGGCAGTGAAGAGCTGAGCTGCACAGGTCAGGATGTTGTCACCAAGGAAGAACTGGGCTGTCACAGTTGAGATGGCCACGATACACAGAGTGTCACCATAAAATTTCAGAAGGGTTTAAGCATACAAAATAACACCATAACACTTCAGCAGGCTGCAAGCATCTGCCCTCCTTGTTCTTTAGCCCAACTTTTACACCCCTCATGTTGATGCATTGCACTGTGTGCCTCTGTTCCCTGTGGGATTGGTCAGTACAGCTCAGCACTCCTTATTTTCAGTGCTGTTCACCTGCTTTTCACAGCTGTACCCATTGGGGGTGAGGCTGGCCACAGCCCCACTCCTAACTACCACACACTGGGAAAATTCTGAGAAATGCACCAAGGATCTGCAAAGTTCAGGGGTGAAACAGAGCCACAAGGAGCTGAGGCTGGAAGAGAAGGGAGTGGATGTAACCAGGTGCACACATTGCACAGATGTGTGCTGAGCAGCCAGGATGCTGCTTTATTGATTATCCAGGTTTTCTGCTTGAATTCTGGGATCCTGCCCAGAAAATGGGCACCTTTTCCATGCTGGGCCACCTCAGCCACTCTGGGTTCAGCTCTGGAGCTGCTGCTCCTCTTTTCTTGTGCCCTGAACAGCTCTGACCTGCACAACAGAGGCACCAACATCCTCAAACCAGTGCTCACCCCTGTGTGCTGTTTGGGGACAAAGAGGAATCTTTTGGGAGAGAACAGCCCTTTCCTGTGCCCTCTCCACGCTCTGTCCCACAGCTGAGACACCCCATGAGCTTCCCAGCTCCAGGTGTGTCAAACACAGCCAGCAGGGGCTAAAAATACTCAAGAGGCAGCTCAGCCAGTTCCTTTTTTACCCAAATGAAAGCAACGCTGCTCTGAATGAGATTATTTATGTTCAGAGAGCTCATCCTTTATCTCCTGTCACTGCCAACCCCATTTATCCATTTCCCCTACTCACCCAACAGGATATTAAAATACACCAACTGAATTTGGCCGATCCCTTTGTCCCATTTTTCACTCTGGCAACCAGAATTCAGCAAATTTTCATGGAAAAATTATCCCAGCTTTGTGGAATGTTGTTCGCTGATCCTTCAGGTATCGAATTAATGCCTGAGGGTTGTGGTGAGCTGGGATTACCTCGGGGCAGGTGAGGAGCGCCCTGGGTCACCATGCTTGGTGTGACAGACAGCAATTAACATTCCACAAGGGAATCTCCATCATTATGGCATCCTGTAGGCTGGGAATCTGTGTTTTCCTTTTGAATTTCCATCCTGTTGATTGCTTACCCTTCTTCATGGTTGCCTCAATTTTTCCACCACAAGGGGTTTTCCTGCTGTGCTTACTGATAAATGTGGGATCAAGGTTTAAGAATTATGTTCAGAGAGTTGAAAATTTTAAGATCTTAGCCGGAATTTCTTCCTTGTGAGGGTGGTGAGGCCCTGGAATGGATTTCCCAGAGAAGCTGTGGCTGCCCCTGGATACCTGGAACTGTTCCAGACCAGGTTGGATGGGGCTTGGAGCCAGCTGGGATAGTGGAAGGTGTCCCTGCCCATGGCAGGGGATGCAACGAGGTGGATTTTCAGGTCCGCCATGGTGGGTTGCAGACCACCCCACGTCTGTATGCATCGTCATCTGCATATGCAAATAATATTCAAATAAGCCCCTCCGCGCGGCCCAGCCCAGCCGAACCTGCTGCGGTTCTTCCCTTCGGCCCCCCGCGTTGCCATAGTTACCCAGCTGTCAATCACCGCGCCTTCTCCCGCCCTTCCCGGACAACTCTCTCGATCATTGGGCAGTTATCTTGTCAATCTCGGCTCAGAGGAAGCCCATAGGTCAGCGCTGCCGCATATCGGCCCGCCTCACCCGGCCGCACGCTTTTGATTGGGCAGTCGCGCTTGTCACTCTACGCGGCCGACAGCAGGAGGCGGGCCCAGCTCCCCGCTGCCGCGCAATCCCGGCCTCCCATTGGCGCATCCTCCTGTCGCTCTGCGCCGCGGGGGGCGCGGATTGGCGGCCGCCTCACAGGGTGTCCCGCCCCGCGGGGCCGTGCGGCGCAGGCGCGCAGGAGGCGGTGGCTGCGGCGGTGGCGGCTGAGCGGGGCCGGAGCGGGGCCGGGCGGCCCATGGGGCCGGGCCGCGCTGCCGATGGAGCCGCCGCGCAGCTGTGGCGATGGCGCGGAGGACGAGAAGAAGCCGCGGCGGCGGGGCGGCGGCGGCGCTGCGGACGCCGGACCCTCCCAGCCGCGGCGGTGGAGCAGCGGCGGCGCGGCGGGCGCGGACAGCGCGGCGGGTCCGCAGCCCCGCGAACGCGGCGGCTCCGTGAGCCGGCAGCGGCGGGACTCGGTCCGCAAGAACCGCCCGCGTGAGTGCGGGGGAGCGGGAACGGCGGCGAGGCGGGGGGAGAGAGGCGGGGGGGCTCAGAGGATGGGCGGGGGCGGGGCTTATGGTAATGAGTCAGGTGGGCGGGGCCTCGGTGGGTGGGGCCGAATGGGCGTGGTCAGGGGAGGTGGGGCCGGGGGCGACACCGGGGAGCGGCGGGGAGGGATGGGGACACCGGGACAGCGAGGGGGGCTCTGACATGGGCACGGCACGGGCAGCGGGGGGACAGCACGGCGGGGTGAGGATTTGTACAGGGGGACAGCACAACGGGGTCATGGCACGGGCACGGAACACCGTGGGGACACAGGGTGGCTTGTCCAGCATGGCCGGGCTGGGCACAGCACGGAGGGACACGGTGGGGTGAGGATTGTCCATCAGCAGCAGCTTGGGAATGGCACTATGGGGTGATGGCATGGGCACTGCACGGCTGGTTTGAGGACAGCACGGTGGGACAGGGACATGAGCTCAGGTTGGGCTGCGGGGTGGGACAAGCTGAACTCCAAGAGCTCTGGCAGGTTTGAGGTGAGGTGACACCTGCCTGGTGGGACAGGACATGGGATGGGGCTGTGGCAGATGCTGGGGTTCCCAAATTGGGGACTTTGAATGGGAAGGCAGCTGGTGACAGAGGGTGAGGAAAAGGACACAGCAGGACAGATGGAGGGACCAGGGTTTGAGGTTGTGGGGCTGCACTGGTGACTGTGAAAGCAAAGCAAAGGGAATAGTTTAAATTTTGGGAAGGAAGAACCCGACAGGTTTGGCAGGAGCTGGACACAGATCAAACCAGGCTTTTTAAGGGGAAAAAAAATCCCTAAACCACGTTTGGAAATGTCCTCCTGCAAACAGCAAAATGGATGGCAGCCTTCATTTTGGGAGCAGCAGGAGCTGCTGTGCAGGTGCCGTGCCTGTCCCTGACTTCAGCCATATTTGAGGAATAACCAAGAGATTTTTCCTTGGCTTCTGCTGGCAGGAAATTGCCATACCCTGAAATTGAAACAGCCTCGGTGTAATTCCTTGGTACCTGCACAGCTCTTAAAGAGCTGTGAGCAGGGAATGTGGGCTGAAAACAGGGCTCAGGATTCTGCTG